ATGTTTTATGATATTATTATTGCTTTAATTCGAGGAAATAATTACCCAAATAATAGTCAATATGTAGATATACGCATCTGGTGCTGAAACTTTAGACAATTATATATCAATGTTTCAGATTTGTATTAATTGGTCTCATTATCTTGTTGTGTAGTAACTCAGTTATAGAAATTATTTGCACGGAATATATATGTAATCTGTAAATATATAACAATTTTGTCATATGTGTGTAAGAAGAATACATAATATAACTGCTTTGAATTACACATTGTTGAAAACCTCTTTGTAGACGACATAAGTAGTAGTAACAGAATTTTGTCCATCCTCATCTAGAGCTAAAACCTTTAGGCCATCAAGATGAGTGACTCGGGAAAAAGCCACGTACAATTAACTGTGATTAAAGATCGATTTTTTCAACAACAACCCAACGTGAGTTAGTGTTTGACCTAGGTTTTTTTTTTTAGTCATGATATATGCTAGTATCAACGAGAATTGTTTAAGCTGGAACTTGAAGGACAATCTCGTATCACACTACAAGAAATGTTTCATTTCCCGACGAAAATTTTAATGACGCTCTAAAAAACGTCGCTAAATATAACAATTTGGGACGTTATATTAAATAACGTCACTATATATTTTGGTAGAGACAATAAATTTTTTTGATAATATTTACTGACGAAATATAATATTTTTGTCAGTAAAGATATAGAATTAATGACGTTTTCTAATAATCGTCTTTAAATGTCTTATTTTAAAAATCATAACGTCAGGAAAAGTGAAAATAATTTTGCGGGAAAGCTATTATCAATTGGCGCCATTAAAACACTCTCTTCAGCAATAAAAAAAAAATTGTCTAAATTATTTCTCTGAGTACAATATGTCAATATCATAGTGTAGCTGTACTTCATTTCTCACTACAAAATAGAGCAGAGTATTCTGGTCTCATCTTCAACGAGCAGAAATTCGGCAGCACCTTCATCGGCACCGCTTCGTGACACCACCGCCGTTTCCACCACAACAGGGTCATCGTCTGCACCTTCGTCGGCACTCTGTGTCTCTGGTTTTCTCCTCATCTCACTACACTACAATAGATTTTTCTGTACTTCTAATCTTACTATTTAATCATATATAATACCTAACCTTTATCTCTGCAAAACCCAGTGGAAGTCTTCCAAAAGATCGGACCCAAAAGCTTACAAGAGAAGATTCATCATGTTTAGGTAAATTCAAACCCTAATAAACTAATCTCCACCAAAACATTCATGTATAAACTCTATTTTTGGTATTATTTGGATGATTTTGGCGCTCATTAGTTAGAATAGGAAAGCTAATTTCTCTGTAATTTTTTTTTTGTTTTTTTGTTTTTTTTTATAACTTGGGTGTGATTTGTTTTTTGTTATATATATATTTACATTTATTATGAATTATTCATATCTAGGTGAGGGGTTAGTAATAAACATATTAATCTAGGGTATTGATGAATCATGTAGTTTTGGCTACATGATGTAGCAGATTTGGGGGTGGAATTTGGGTTTTTGCAGGTGGTTTTGAGGTAAGGTTAGATGCTGATTTTTATGTGAGTTTAGGGAATGATGTTGCAAGGATTAACTTCTGCAATTTTGGGGTGGCTGTAGGATACAACTAGCTGCATCTGCTGCAATCTCTGCAAATATGTAGCCAGCTTGAATGTGGATTGGTTGTTGGTTTTGATTGGTGATGGATATTGAGGTGTTTTGTTTGGGGTTGATGTTGGGTTTTGATGATATATGGTTTCAGCTTATTAAGCTAAGGGGGAATGAGGCCGGCCTCTAAGAAGGCTTAGGAAGCAAAATTTAATTTGCTGCTGTTTGCTACCCTTTCTGGAGGTTCTCGAGGAGGTAGCTAGTTTTTGTTGTGATATATTTGGGTGTTGGTTTTGGAATATTTTGTAAATGACTTGAGGTGTAGTTGTAATAATAACATTTGCAACAAAAATAACAATAGGTTAGTGTTGTTTAATAATATTAACAAGATAGATGAGAGGGGAATGTTGCAGTGCTACTACTACTGATTGTACCTGTCATAAAGAAGTTGTAGAAAAATCATAAAGATTTGGAGGGGTGTGGGGGGTATGGCTGATTCACTCAAAATTTTGGAGGTTATTGAGAAGTTGGATTCTTATTTCCTGATGGAAGATTTTGATGATATACTAATAAAGAAATACTTAGCACTTTACAGGAATAATGTCACACTTATTTGAGTAATTGAAGTAAGAAAGAATATTTAAATATGATTATTATAAGACACAATTAAGTCAGACAGATTAGAGCTTCTCCCAGATGAATTATAATTAAACAATTCACAAGCTATCTTAAAACTTAAAAGCATACACTGATACACATTACACATGCCCACATAGGGTAGTTAGTTACTCTTCTAATTTATAATTACAGAGCCTTGTGATTACAATGAGTTCATTATGTTATTCTCATATTTCATCTCCTACTTAATACTTATCAACTATCATATCAGATTATATTGTTGAGGTGAATATTCCAGACCTAGCTAGGTCACTCTAATAGTCCATATAGATTGGTCCAAGATAGTGAATTCCAAAAGTTAAATATCATTTGGAGTCTAATGAGTAATTTCTCTATTTTACCCCCTAACCTTCATCAATTTCTTTGGTTCTATGTATGTATTATGATTCTGATGGGATTTGAATTTAATGAATGAATAAAAATACTCCTCCTTCCTCTAAATAAAAAATACTCTTCCTTTACTTTGACAGTACATGGTAATAAAGCTTTTTCTTTCTTTTTGTGCATTTCTTTTTAGTTTTGACAATGATGTTGTGTCATTATATGTACCACCTAAACATGCTTGTTTGTCAGAGTTTATGTTAATCACATCCACCATGATATATATCCAATAAAATTTAAGAGGTATTAAGAACAGATCTTAGAAGAAAAAAAAATGTAGTTGCCTGCTTTGTGGTGATTTTTTAATTTTCTTTGTATTTTTTTTAATGATGTGAAGATATTAAGGGCAACTGTCAAAGATTGATGTTTGTTTAGTAGCAGAAGCACCCTAGTTTTTTGACAACAGTTATGGAGATGATGCTATAGTCAGCTATACCTTGTGTTCCAGAGTTGGAGAAACTCCATTGATACTAAGATAGACTTCATTTCTAAGCATATTTTAAAACATTTGAACTTTCTCTAGCCTAGCTTCATTTAGCTTGCATTCCTGCCAATTGTCATTATCTGTATGAATGGTAAGTGAAGTCTTCCTATTTTGGCTATTAACCAAAAAAAAAAAAAAAATTAAAAAAAATCAAGAAAATGGCTAAAAAGATTAATGATTTATGTGGTATACTTCTAGGCTAAGTCTAAATAATTTTCCTATACAATGTGTGTTTCATGGTTCTTGAGCATACAGTATGACAATACATGAATTGATTTTAGTTGCTTGTTGTAATGGATCATTGCTTAGCATGAGATGCAAATTTATATCATTGATTTCTTATTGCCTTTCTTGAGATTTAATAACTATGAAATCTCTAAAAATATTTTTACACTGCAAAACAATATTTAATCCATTATTTGTTAATCTTAATTTTTCAGATTAAGCAACACTTTTTAGCTCTACTATAGTATTCCAACAAGAATCAAGTAAAGCACCTCCCTTCAAGTAAGTAGTAATTTTAAAACAATATTTAGTTCTATAATCTGTTCATTCTAATTTTTCAATGCAAATTGTGTGTATATATATATATATATATATATATATATATATATATATATATATATCTTAAAATATTGAATCGATGTATGTAATGATTTTTTCATATAAAAAATTAGTTTACATTATAAATAACGACTTATATGTTGTAATAGGTACTGTGTTTAATATGGATAAAGCATGGATGACACAGAATAAAAGGTCTAATGAATATATAGAAGGACTTAAAGAACTTTATGTTATTTGTGGGAAATCACTTGGGACATGATTGTGAGATTAGGTGCCCATGTAAAAAATGTCTAAACACAACATCCTTAAATCAAAACATGGTTTATATGCATTTGCGCCAAAATGGAATAGACACGGATTACACACGTTGGATATTCCATGGAGAGCCACCGATTTTTCAAGAACCAAGTAATAATGGTTCTCAGGTTGAGTATGATGATTCTGATGATGAAAACTTAGATGGAGTCTATGAGTTCTTAAATGAATACGGAAATTTTGTAAACTCCACCTCACAGTTAAATCCCAATACTCACAGTTCTGTTTCAGCAAACGCATCACATGCAGGTTACAATTTAATTAAAAATTAAATTACTTTATAACATAGAAAACCAGTGTGTGTGTATATATATATATATATATATATATATATATATATATATATATATATATATATCATGATAATATAAACACTTATTTTTATTTGTCAATTTTCTTTTAGAAGGTGGGACAACCTCAAAAAAGCGTGGTAAGGGACCTACAAGAGGAATTGGATTGGTAAAAAGAAACGAGGTTGCTGGAAAGAAGTTGCAAGTTATCATTGATCGGGAACATGGACGGCCTTTAAATAGAACTCAATCAGCTAAGTTGTCTAATGAACTTGGCCAAATAGTTAGAGATTACATGCCATGTCCAACAAAATATTCTAAATTCACAGAAGAAGAAAAAAATCGTGCTTGGGAACGATTACTGGTAAGTATTTAGCAAAGCTCTTATTAAAATTTCTATTATTGAAAAACATAGCTTTTATTAATTAACAAGTTATTTATAATATTATTTCTTAACTAAGCTTCTAAACATTGATTTTTTTTAGATGAGATTGGATGTTGTTAATTTTCGAGAAGATTCTCGAATCTTTGAATGTGTGGAAAATATTTTCAAAGTTCGCTATAGGAATTACAAGCATGAATTGCACAAGCAGTTCCTAAAATATGACTCGGCAATTGAGGCAAAGTTACATGTTCCAAAAGGCCTAACAGAAGATAATTGGAATGAACTCTGTGATTATTGATCCAAAGGGAATGTGCAGGTCAGTTTCTTTGTAATCTTTATTAAATTTATCTTACACTTATATTTTCAATACAACAACTAAGTTATGATGATTGATATTGTAGGTGAAGTGCATGATAAATTCTTGGTGCCGCAGTCAACAGAAAATTCCACATAATCAAGGGTCTGCTGCATTTGTACCCGTGTTTATTGAACTTGTATGTTTTAAACTTTACTTATGAGTTATGGTTAAATTGATATTTATACTTTTTAAAATAATATTTCTATATTTTACACAGAGACAAAAGGAAGAAGGTGGTTTTATGCCTGATAGGATTGCTTTATTTAAATTCACGCGCTGCAAGAATGACAAGTGGATTACACGTGAAGCCGAGGAAACTTATGTGTGTCATTGCATAAATATTGTTGTTTAATATATTTTAACTATTTATTTTCATAATTATCTTTAATATTTTAGTGTTTAATTAGACATTCTAATATTTCAGCAAAAGATGATCACCATGCTTGAGACTTCAGCATCAAATGAAAATCCAATGACTGTTGATCAAGTTTACGATGATGTAATGGGCACACGATCAGGATATATCAAAGGAATGGGGAATGGACCAAAACCACAAACATCTAGATCCACTCGAGCAAACACGTCCCATCTTGAGGATCAAATGAAAGCGACTATGAATGAGAACTCTCAACTGAAGACAGAGCTTGCTGATTTAAAGATGAGGTTTCAACAATATGAAGAATTACTTGCTGCATTAGCGGCAGAGAGATCTAACCAAGAGTGGTATGTGGATATATATTTAATAGTTACATGTCATAAATTATCCTTAATAATTAATGAATTGAATTTTTAACAATACATCTAATACCTTGTATCCTGTTTTTTTTTTTCAGAATTAATTCGATGGATGAATTTTTTTTGTGAATTACAAGGTAAAGTACATTACTATGTTTAAGGTGTGATATCCAGTTTCTTTTACTATAAAATTGGAGTAGAATGAAACTTGCAAATCTTATTCTTACACACTCATTTTATTTGTTTGTTTGGTTTTTGTTATGAAGGGTGTATTTTTTTTGGAGTTGAAGGCCGAATGACATTATTGTAGTGTTATTTATGCTACTACTTTTGAAGGCACGAATGGACTTTAACCATTACATGCACTACTGATTTTTTTTCCGTTAAAGCAAAGTTTCTTTTGATGGTATTTTGATATTTTTATGTGGTTTGCTTTAAGTTTTATTCCTTAATTTTTGTTTCAAAGAGAATTAAAATTGTTTCATCCCTTGCAGGCATTACTCAGAAGTTGGATACTTTTAAATGTGGAGATTTTGCCATGAATTAGCTTGGATTTGGTCTTGTAGAGGACTTCATGGGTATTCACCAAGTTTTAACAACTTAGTTAATGATCTCAAGGTGGATATGAACACTTGAAGGTATAACCAAAGTTTAGAATTTTATTTATCATTTCTTTGTTATATAAATTTTGGTTTTGGGGAGTACACTGCTAAATGGAAATTGATTACATGCTATAAGCAACTAAATGAGATATTAATTAGCTAAGAAAAGTTATTGATAGAACTAATTGCTTCTATGTATTTCGTGTGCATAGCAGTGTGTATATGCACAAATGCTTTGGTCTGGAATGTGTAGAGTATGTCCTTAAGAAAGGGAAATTTGAAAATTGATTGCATGACTAATTCTGTGAGGGAAATTTGAAAATTGATTGCATGACTAATTCTGTGAGGGAAATTTGAAAATTGATTGCATGAATAATTCTGTGAGGAAAATTTGAAAATTGATTGCATGAAATAATTCTGAGGAAAATTAGCCCAAATGCTTTGGTCTAGATTGTGTAGAGTATGTCCTTAAGAAATGGAGAATCCCCATGTGACTTAGTGTTTTGTGGAAAATGAAATGACCTCCCCATTATATAGGTGGAGGCCTAACCCCGAGCCGGAGATTTGACCCGAACCCGATATCGATCAAATGTACAAAACGTGTAGCCTGTATGACGGTATATTCGGGGAAATTCCCTATCAGTTATGTTATTAAATGTAATCATAAGAAAGTACAAAAGCAATGTAAATTAACTATCTGATTGAGTTTAATATATAGTTTTTTTAATAATTTATTACTCATGCTTGAAAATATTTATGTTTTTTAGTGGCAGGGAATTATTGCATATCTAGATGTATTCATCAAATCAGACCTTCTCCCCCAAGACAAAGGACTTCCAAATTGCCGACCTCAATAGTTTTGATGAAGATGAGAATTATTATCCATCTTTATGTGCATAGAATTATATATATATATATATATATATATATATATATATATATATATATATATATATATATATATATATATATATATATATTCCCGTGTCTAGTGTGGCCTTATTTAAGAATCATTTGTATCACATTACATCCTTGTAATTCAATATTATACTATGAAAAATATTCTTCTATTTTGAACATTTAATTGATGTTAAAATATTTTATTCTCAATTACATTAAACTGTTGTGTAAACCTTTTTATATACAAGTATATGTAAATTATCATCAATTATTTACAAAATTACAAATATCTCCAAATATAACATTTTGCGATGAAAATGAATATGAAAAAACGCCAGTAAATGTCATTTTTACTGACAAATTGTTATTGTCATCAATTAATTTTTTTAATGACAACATAATAATGTACACAATCGTCAATATAAACGTTTACAAATATCTCCAAATATAACATTTTGCGATGAAAATGAATATGAAAAAACGTCAGTAAATGTCATTTTTACTGACAAATTGTTATTTTGTCATCAATTAATTTTTTAAATGACAACATAATAATGTACACAATCGTCAATAAATGTTATTTTATTGACGCATTTCATTTTTCGTCACCAATTAAATTTATTCATGACAAGCATAATAGTATGGAAAACGTCACTAAAGACACATTTGCTGACGAAATATTTTACTTCGTCAGAAACTATTACCGACGTTTTTGTTAATATTTCGTTTTAAAAAGTGTGTATTCAATGACATTATCAATACAATGCAAAAACGTCAGTAATTGTAATATTTTGCGACGAAAATTTAATTTCGTCAGTAATACCTTTCCATACGCCGATAACCCGACGGTCCGGGTGACGTTTTTATTTCGTTAGTAAAGATATTTGGCGACGTTTTTTTGCTTTTAATGACGTTTAAAAAACGTCGCTAAATGTTAACATTCTTGTAGTGTCAGAAGGGGTGAGAGACATTCGTGGTATAACAACTTTGGTTCCTTGATGCGTCCCATTAACTATTCTTGCTTCGACAATATGATCCACCAATCTTGTGACAATGAATAAGAGAGTGGTTTATGTTCCGCAATAACATAATAGGTGCACCAACCTTTATTGTCAATGAATGATTAGGAAGTCCAGACAATCTCAAACTATTTAAGAATTCAGGAGTGCGTACTTGTGATAGATTATCACCATCTGATTCTGCCTTACACAAAGAGTCACAACTTAAATATGTTCGACCTTCTGCAGTGTTCATGTCACACATATACTGATTAATTTGATCAGCAACATCTAAAGTCGGTGACAGGATTGCTCATCCTTCTAAGTGCGACTCTTCAAGCATTCCATATTTCGCACTTGCGATGATGCTTTCAACTATAGTTGCGATTGGATCAGGTCCACACTTCAACAGAAACCTTGGCGGAATATCGATCTCAAACAAACCATTGTTTACAAACCCTGTAATCCCATCTCTGATGTCTGCAATCCATTTTGAGAACCAATCAACCGTTTGTCTATCTTCGTCTGAAGCTAAGCTCCGTAGTCTCAAGTTCTTCGTGAGCCTCAATACGTTGCAATTCCTCCAGAGGTATGAAGAATTAATAGTTGCTCCCACAACCATTGGTCTCGTTTCTTTTGGAATAATTGGAAAAATCTGCCTAAAATCACCGCCCAACACTACTACATTTCCACCAAATGTTTTCTCAGCACCACCCGGTATGGTGAACCTCAATAGATCCCTCATGGTTTTGACCAAAGCCTCAAACAGTATTTATGCGTCATCGGTGCTTCATCCCATATTATCAATTTGCTCCTTAGTATAAGTTCGCAAAGGTCACTGCATTGCGATATATTGCACGTGGAATTTTCATTCAATGATAGTGGCATAGCAAATTGAGAATGCACCGTCCTGCCACCCTACAAAAGCAAAGATGTTATTTCACTTAAAGCAACGTTTAGAACAATATCTTCGCGGCTCCTTATCTTTGAAGATAATGTTTGATGCGTAGTATATTTGCAAACAAATAATACCCGGAGTATCGAGTAATCGATCCACAGGGAAGTGGTTGTATTAAGCACTAGCTACTAAATTATTCTATGAAGCTAATCCTAACGATTTATTGGATGATTGATTGCATAAAATAAATAAAATAAAGCAGAGATTCAGGATTTTGAAAACAATGGAGAGAGACTGAGATTCCTGGGATTCAAGTGTTTATTCCTCTAGTGCCTAACCTAATATAACATTAAATCTGGGTTCATACGAGTGTGAGGATGCAAAGTGGTATTGAGCTACTCTCGTAGTCACTAACACTGGTAAATATCCACTCTCGTGCAATAATCACCCAATAAAACAAGAACAAGCATCATAAATTCCTAACTACTACCATCTCTCGAACTGGCAATAATCAAGAATTAAATCTCCCTAATAAATTACCCTTTCTCAAGGTGCAACAATTAGGTGCAATTGTGTGTGCCGTAATTTATGCCTAACTCTCGTTCAGACATGAATGTAGCTATGAAGCAAGTAATTCAGACCCTAAACTACTCGCAACAAGAATGATAAACACAATTGCAACACAAGTATTAAACCCAAATAATAATATATTAAAGAAACTAAGAGCTCAGACAAATAGGTTCATAAACACTTTTATCCAAGAATCTCTAAAGAATTTAGCCAAGCATGGCTAAATTATACATAGCAAATATAAATAAATAATTACAAATCATCAAAAGAGTACAAGAATGAACAAGACGATTCTCTCGAATCTCCCTAGTCTTCTTCTTGCTTCCCAAGATAACTTGTGGCTCTTGATTTCTTCCTGTCTTGTCTCCAAAGATCTCTGAATGAATATTAGGGTTATAGCTAGAAGCCCAGAACCAATCCTGATTGAAATAAGAATTCTGTGCAAAATTGGACTGAAATTGTATATGGGCCGAAATTGGAATTCTATTATTTAAATATATAAATTGCCGCCTCATGCTTTTAATTTGAATTGAAGTTGAAATATAATTGCTGCTTTTAAAAATTGGAATATATTGCCGCCTCATGCTTGATTTGTCACTGCGCCTTAATTGTTTCGCGCTGAGATCGCTCGACACGCCGAGACTTCCTGGTTTTGTCCGGAATCACTTTTTGGAAATTTTGGAAAGGCTCGACGCGTCGAACTCACTGTGTATGTGTCATTCGGTCCACTTTTGATCCCAAATTTGTCTTAGGACTTTCCTTGCTCATAACATTGACCTACAATGGTTCAAAAATACTAACAAACACCGTAAAACATTCAAAACAAGTGTGAACCATAATTAAATAATAAAATAAAGGATTATGCAATTAAATTACCATTTTCACGGAATTGAACCCAACAAATATAATCAAATTAATACTAGAATTGTGCACAATTAGGCACACATCAATGTTCTCCACACGAACGTCTTACATGTTCCTCCGTAACCATACACAAAGAATAATCCCCCTCCATTAGAATCAATATCATTCATCACAGAGTCGTAAACATTCTTTTGTTCGTCCGTCAATTGTGTTACCAATGTTTCATGATCTGCCTTCAATGATTCCTTGTTGTACGCCACTCTTCGGATATCGACATGTTTTCCATCAATCTAATTCTGCTTTATTCTGGAAGTGGCATTTTTGGGTAGTCGCTCAGGCTCTTCCCCCAAAAAGATAGCAACTTCTCCAACTT